TTTTTTTTTTATTTCTACCATCATACCACCTGGCCTTAATTCAGAGGATGAGGTGTCAAACTATAAAAAGCAATGAGTGAAATTGTCAGGATACTTAAAAATAGTCAAAACAATTTTTGTGCATTTTAAACTGAAAGTCAAATCAACGGGAGTTATTTCTAACATGCAATATATTTAGACTCACATCAGGATTCAGCGAGTTGTTCTCAGAGGTCTTTGTAGAAAACAGAATGTGTGTAAAACCATCTTGTTTCTTAACTACAATGTCCCTGTAGCGGTAAGCACTCTCAGTTTGACGAACACTGAAGCGCAGACGCTTGTCAAAAGTTGCACGGTCCTCAAAACGCCTTTTGCCTGTCAGTCCTGAGCTGCTCATCACGCCTGCTGCACCACTCTGTGTAATGGCTGTTCCATTTGCAGACGAGGCCTCCATGAGGGTAGTCACTCCTATGAAACAACATCAAAAGCATAAATTAATAAATAAAATATTATATAAATAAAATATAGAAATATTATAGTAGTACTAAGGTCCCCCTTTATATTAAGTGGCCCTAATACCTGTGTACTTACATAGTAACTAGATGTGTACGTAGTATGTTACCACAGTGTAAGTACACATTGGTACATAGTATCTAGAGCTCTAATATTTCTTTATCTACACACATGTAACAGCCCTCCGAATGGTTTGTGTAAGTACAAATGTGTAACAGAACATATATAACTACATTTTGTAACAACAATATGTATAAGAGTAACTGGAACCATTTGATCCAGGGGGTGGAGATGGGTAGGTTTAGGGATATGTAAAGTGGGAGGAGTTGGATCTCAAGTTGGTGGAGTTGGTGCACCACTGTAATACCAGTGTACTTACATGGTAACTCCTCAGGAACTGTCCACTTAATATAAAGTGTAACATTCTGGACACCAACCACAATTTATATGTAAAGCCTAACTTGGCCGCTGCTGTGTGACTGCATATGAAAAGGCTGCACAAGTATCAAAACAAATTATTACAATCATTACCAGTTACACCTAGACTACATTTTATAAGTTGCATAAATATCAGGGTGTGATTATTTCCAGGGTGTGAGTAAAATCAATATTATTGTAAGTTAATTTTGATGGAAAACTAGCATCTTCATATTCGAGATAACCGATAACAGAGTATACAGCTTTTGAAACAACTCCAGAAGGTACCCTCAAAAATACTTGATGCTCTGCAGCAACACATTTGCTTTCATTTATCAAGTGCTTGTTTATTAGCATTTATTGTGTTGTTCCATGACTGAAAACACACAATCCATTAAATTATATAAGTATGGCTGAAACAAACTAATTTTGTGGAGCTTTAAGGCCTGGAACTGAAACCCTCTCTACTAAACCTCATAAGAATGCATTATAATGTTCTCAGTATAGGTCAAGATGACTCTACCTTTCCCGTTTAACGTGCGGACGGCAGCGGGGGTAATGGGAATCTGCGGTGGCGGAAGGGTTGTTTGTGTCCTGGGCCTCGTACCCATACGAGCCCGCTCCTCTCCCGGTACACGTACAGCTCCGGTGGGTTTCTCCAGCAAGGCCACTTCAGGGGGCACAGCATCTGGCTCTTGGCCTCCCTGCTCCAGACTGTGCGCCGCCTCACTGGGAGACTCCTCTGTGTCAGTGCGGCTGTTCATTGGGCTCTTTGGCACTAGGATTTTGATGCCAGATTTAGCCAGATCCATACTACGCCGCAGCGCGCTCACAGTGGGAGCAGCTGTCGCCGCTGCCGTCGGGGCCGTGTCAGTGACTGTGCTCATAACGGCAGTGCTGCTGCCGATGCTACTCACGCCAGCCGAACGCTTACTCTTCTGCTGCTGCGCGTCGCTGTTGTGCGGTGAATGTTGTGCTGGCTGAAGCCGTTTTGTGGAGGGTGTGCTCGGGGTGGGTGGAGAGGTCTTCGCTGTGTTAGGACTCGCTGAGGACTGCTGAGGCCTACTGATTTGTTTGCGGGCATTGATACTAGTGTTGCCTCCGGCTGTGCTGGGAGAACTGCGTGTGGAACGGAGTAAAGTTCCGTCTTTCTGCTTCTCGCTGCGTTGCCGATTAAATTCATGGATGAACTCGACACAGCTGGACAGGTGATTCTCCGGCTCCCAGGTGTCTCCCTCAAAGCCGTAGCCTCTCCAGCGGACCAGGTATTCAGTCTTGCCCTTTTTGTTCTTACGTCTGCCTACTATTCTCTCCACCTAAAGAGGGGCATGCAGATAAAGCATGGTTTAGTGAAATTTATGTAAAACAATATGTTGGAAAGATTGAAAGAAAAGCATTTACTAGTAAAAGTTAGCTTATTATGAAGGAAATGGCAATTTCTAT